GGGGTGCAGCGGGAGGGCTGGGGTGCAGGTAGAGATTTGGGGTGCAGACCTGGAGTTTGAGGTGCAGGGGGAGATTTGGGGTGCAGACCTGCATGCAGACGTGGAATTTGGGGTGCAGGAGATGTGGGGTTCAGGGGGAAATTTGGGGCGCAGACCTGGGACTTGGGGTGCAGCGGGAGGGCTGGGGTGCAGGTAGAGATTTGGGGTGCAGACCTGGAGTTTGAGGTGCAGGGGGAGATTTGGGGTGCAGACCTGCATGCAGACGTGGAATTTGGGGTGCAGGAGATGTGGGGTACAGGGGGAAATTTGGGGTGCAGACCTGGTATTTGCGGTGCGGGGGAAGCGTGGGGTTCAGACCTGGAATTTGGGTGCAAGAGATCTGGGATGCAGGGGGAAATTTGGGGTGCAGCCCTGGGGTTTGGGGTGCAGGAGGAAGTGTGGAGTGCAGGCCTGGGACTTGGGGCGCAGTGGGAGATTTGGGGTACAGGTAGAGATTTGGGGTGCAGAGATGTGTGTGGATGTGGGATTTGGGGTGCAGGAGATGTGGGGTGCAGGGGGAAATTTGGGGCGCAGACCTGGGACTTGGGGTGCAGCGGGAGAGCTGGGGTGCAGGTAGAGATTTGGGGTGCAGCCCCGGGGCTTCGGGTGCAGGAGGAGGTGTGGAGTGCAGACCTGGGACTTGGGGTGCAGCGGGAGAGCTGGGGTGCAGGTAGAGATTTGGGGTGCAGACCTGGGTGCAGACCCAGATTTGGGGGAGCAGGGGAGATTTGGGGTGCAGACCTGGGACTCGGGGTGTGGGGGATGCGTGGGGTGCAGACCTGGAGTTTGGGGTGCAGGGGGAGATTTGGGGCGCAGACCTGGGACTCGGGGTGCAGGGGAGGCATGGGGTGTAGACCTCGGTGCAGCTGTTGGACTTGGGGTGCAGGCGGAAATTTGGGGTGCAGACCTGGGATTTGGGGTGCGGGACAGGGGGAAATTTGGGGGGCAGACCTGGTATTTGCGGTGCGGGGGAAGCGTGGGGTTCAGACCTGGAATTTGGGTGCAAGAGATCTGGGATGCAGGGGGAAATTTGGGGTGCAGACATGGGATTTGGGGTGCAGAGCTGGGTGCAGACCCAGGGTTTGGGGTGCAGGGGGAGATTTGGGGTGCAGAGCTGGGTGCGGATGTGGGATTTGGGGTGCTGATGTGGCGTGCAGGGGGAAATTTGGGGCGCAGACCTGGGACTCGGGGTGTGGGGGACGCGTGGGGTGCAGACCTGGAGTTTGGGGTGCAGTGGGAGATTTGGGGCGCAGACCTGGGACTCGGGGTGTGGGGGACGCGTGGGGTGCAGACCTGGAGTTTGGGGTGCAGTGGGAGATTTGGGGCGCAGACCTGGGACTCGGGGTGTGGGGGACGCGTGGGGTGCAGACCTGGAGTTTGGGGTGCAGTGGGAGATTTGGGGCGCAGACCTGGGACTCGGGGTGTGGGGGACGCGTGGGGTGCAGACCTGGAGTTTGGGGTGCAGTGGGAGATTTGGGGCGCAGACCTGGGACTCGGGGTGTGGGGGACGCGTGGGGTGCAGACCTGGAGTTTGGGGTGCAGTGGGAGATTTGGGGCGCAGACCTGGGACTCGGGGTGTGGGGGACGCGTGGGGTGCAGACCTGGAGTTTGGGGTGCAGTGGGAGATTTGGGGCGCAGACCTGGGACTCGGGGTGTGGGGGACGCGTGGGGTGCAGACCTGGAGTTTGGGGTGCAGTGGGAGATTTGGGGCGCAGACCTGGGACTCGGGGTGTGGGGGACGCGTGGGGTGCAGACCTGGAGTTTGGGGTGCAGTGGGAGATTTGGGGCGCAGACCTGGGACTCGGGGTGTGGGGGACGCGTGGGGTGCAGACCTGGAGTTTGGGGTGCAGTGGGAGATTTGGGGCGCAGACCTGGGACTCGGGGTGTGGGGGACGCGTGGGGTGCAGACCTGGAGTTTGGGGTGCAGTGGGAGATTTGGGGCGCAGACCTGGGACTCGGGGTGTGGGGGACGCGTGGGGTGCAGACCTGGAGTTTGGGGTGCAGTGGGAGATTTGGGGCGCAGACCTGGGACTCGGGGTGTGGGGGACGCGTGGGGTGCAGACCTGGAGTTTGGGGTGCAGTGGGAGATTTGGGGCGCAGACCTGGGACTCGGGGTGTGGGGGACGCGTGGGGTGCAGACCTGGAGTTTGGGGTGCAGTGGGAGATTTGGGGCGCAGACCTGGGACTCGGGGTGTGGGGGACGCGTGGGGTGCAGACCTGGAGTTTGGGGTGCAGTGGGAGATTTGGGGCGCAGACCTGGGACTCGGGGTGTGGGGGACGCGTGGGGTGCAGACCTGGAGTTTGGGGTGCAGTGGGAGATTTGGGGCGCAGACCTGGGACTCGGGGTGTGGGGGACGCGTGGGGTGCAGACCTGGAGTTTGGGGTGCAGTGGGAGATTTGGGGCGCAGACCTGGGACTCGGGGTGTGGGGGACGCGTGGGGTGCAGACCTGGAGTTTGGGGTGCAGTGGGAGATTTGGGGCGCAGACCTGGGACTCGGGGTGTGGGGGACGCGTGGGGTGCAGACCTGGAGTTTGGGGTGCAGTGGGAGATTTGGGGCGCAGACCTGGGACTCGGGGTGTGGGGGACGCGTGGGGTGCAGACCTGGAGTTTGGGGTGCAGTGGGAGATTTGGGGCGCAGACCTGGGACTCGGGGTGTGGGGGACGCGTGGGGTGCAGACCTGGAGTTTGGGGTGCAGTGGGAGATTTGGGGCGCAGACCTGGGACTCGGGGTGTGGGGGACGCGTGGGGTGCAGACCTGGAGTTTGGGGTGCAGTGGGAGATTTGGGGCGCAGACCTGGGACTCGGGGTGTGGGGGACGCGTGGGGTGCAGACCTGGAGTTTGGGGTGCAGTGGGAGATTTGGGGCGCAGACCTGGGACTTGTGGTGCAGCGGGAGAACTGGGGTGCAGGTAGAGATTTGGGGGGCAGACCTGGGTGCAGACCCAGATTTGGGGGTGCAGGGGAGATTTGGGGTGCAGAGCTGGGTGCAAACCCAGGGTTTGGGGTGCAGGGGAGATTTGGGGTGCAGCCCTGGGACTCAGGGTGCAGGGGAGGCATGGGGTGTAGACCTGGGTGCAGCTGTTGGATTTGGGCTGCAGGGGGAAATTTGGGGTGCAGACCTGGGATTTAGGGTGCAGGGGGAGCGTGTGGTGCAGACCTGCGTGCAGACCTGGAATTTGGGTGCAAGAGATCTGGGATGCAGGGGGAAATTTGGGGTGCAGACATCGGATTTGGGGTGCAGACCTGGTTGTAGACACTGGACTTGGGGTGCTGGAGGAGATGTGGGGTACAGACCTGGGGTGCAGGGGGAGATTTGGGTTGCAGACAGGGGATTTGGGGTGCAGGGGAGGTGTGGGGTGCGGACCTGTGACTTGGGGTGCAGGTAGAAGTTTGGGGTGCAGACCCGGGGTTTGGGGTATGGACCTGGGTGCAGACGCAGGTCTCGGGGTGCAGGAGGAGACTTGAGGTGCAGACCTGGGATGCAGGGGGAGATTTGGGGTGCAGAACTGGGACTTGGGGTGCAGACATGGGATTTGTGGTGTGAGGTAGGTGTGAGGTGCAGACGTGGGACTCGGAGTGCAGGAGGAGATGGGGGTGCAGAACTGGGGTACGGGGGGAGATTTGGGATGCAGACATGGGATTTGGGGTGCAGGGGAGATGTGGGGTGCAGAACTGGGGTGCAGGGGGAGATTTGGGGTGCAGACCCAGGGTTTGGGGTGCAGGAGGAGGTGTGGGGTGTAGACCTGGCACTTGGGGTGCAGGGGGAGATTTGGGGTGCAGACCTGGGGACTGGAGGGCAGGACGGGATGCGGGCTGAGCCACCATTTCCGCAGGTCGTGCGGCGCCGCGTGGCAGGATCTGGCCGCCGGCCAGATGCTACCGCTGCCCGGG